CCTTTCCCGAACTGCCTCAGAGAAGGGTATAGTTTCTTGACAATGTCTAACAGAAGCTATACTTCCCTCTTGGACACTGCATATACCCATAAAGGATTCTCTGTGCTGTGTCATCATTATAATATAAAAATTAAGAAGGCTTTTACCTATAACAATATATATAATTAAACATAATAAAAATAGTAACTACTATAAATATTAGCCTTAGCAAAAGCAAAAAAATAATAATAATAATTAAAAAAAGTTCCTACTATATATTTTATGTAACATATTAATCTAACTTATTTATTTAAAAATTCTTGAAAAATAAAATTTTATATTAACAAAGAAATCAGAATTGATTTATTTTTGTAAAACATATCATATTTTACAAATCTACTTATTTTAGATGATTAAAAAAAATATATAATTCATATTAATATACAAATTTATAGTATAAACAAAAAATTGATGGTCTGCAATTTGAGCTTGTGTCTGTGTCTAACAAAAATCTAAACATAAATATAAAAACTTAAGCATGAGTATGGGTACAGATATGAAAACTTTAACATAAGTATAAAATTTGAACATGGGCATAGAAATGAATATAAAAAATTGGCATAGACATAAGCATAGCAAAAAGCATAGAAATTTAATATTTATTATTTCAGTATTTTGGTATTTAATTATGTTTAGAAACTTGTGTCTGACATTTTGTTCCTAGCACTTAATGCTTATAACTATAATAGTGCCTAGTACTTTGTACCTATGTCTATTTTAGTGCCTGTCATTTATGCCCAACAAGAGTATCTGGCATTTTTGTACCATTAGGCATAACATGGCATAAGGAACTATTGACTGACATAGTGCAAATATGGTATTTGTAGAGTCTTACAAAAAATATAGAACTTACTAGATTTCCATAAAATGTAGCAGAATCAACTTCTATAAGATAATATATTTTGTTAACACCTGTGCAAAACCATCCTTCTAACAAGAAATTTAATTTAAGATAGAAAATAATCAAAAGATTGTAGTAGTTTTGATCTCTATCAGTCAATTTATATAAAATTTCAGCAGATATAAAAGGTTATTATTGGCCATTTGTGTTATTAATTTAGTAATGTTGTTAAACTATTTTTTTTTGTTGTATTATCCTTTTAAATTCAAAATTTAAATTGTTAAAAACTAATTGACTACTATATTGAAATATCTATTACATAACTTTAAACATGCAAAAGAAAGTCTCTGAACAAGTGTTACCAATATTTAACAGACTTACTAATTCTAATACTTCCACAAATATGATAACTTTAAAATATTTAGTTTGGTTCAATTAGAGATAGTATTCTTATCAAGAATGGTGTAATAAAATTTTCTTTAGATTTCATTTTAGTACATAGTGATGTTAACATTCAATTCTAAAAATAGACTATTAATTTATTTTTTAGATTACATGCTATCCTATCAAAAACATTTTATGTATCTAGACAGTATATGCATTTAAGTCATACTAAAGAACCATTTTTATATTAATAATTCAAAACAAAAATTATTTATTCATTTAGAGTATATACATTTTTTAATATTAAAAAATTTTTTTATTTTTCTTGTATTGAGAATATTAAGAGTTCAAAAGATTTTTTGAGAACATAAATTTAAATTCTAAACACTAATTATGAAATTTTTTAATTATGATAGGTGTTTTCTTAGAAAAATCCATAAAACAACTCATGAGCAGGCTTATGAAAACATGTACTTCAACTCTGAACAAACCAAATATCACCCAAAGGTAAGTTATGTCCAGTATTTAAATTTTATATTCTGGTAATTCTAATTATAAAACAGATAATTTTATAATAATTCCTTAAATAATCGCTTTACAAAGATTTAGATTTCTTAATACACAGTATCTATGTAGTAACTGTATAGTAGCTATATTTTTACTATATAGGAGTGAGTCAATAGAAAAGAGACAAATATTTTTCAAGTAAAAGTTTTCTTGACTTTAAGCTTAAATATCTTAACTATTTTATTAAATTTGATAAATTTTTTCTTATTTTAATTCTATATAATTTTAAGATTAAAATAAAAAAATTTTTAGCAGATTTGATTAAATAGTTGATGAGTTATTTAAATTTAAAAATTAAAAAAATTTCACTAAAGATGATTTGTCCCTTTTCTATTGACTCACCTCCATATATTAAACTTAATAGTAACTCTATAGTTACCACATAGTTACTATAATATATAGTTACTACGTATTTTGGTAATCTTTTTTTTTGAATAAAGAAAACCTGTTCCCAATGTTTAAATGTGTTAAAGGCGGTAAAAAACGATTGCTGTTATTTTACTTGATACTGAAGAATTATGATTGTATAAAATGTTACAAATACAATTATGCAAATTTGAATAACATTGATGACAGTTTCATCCTGTTACGATTAATTTGGGTACATTAGTTAACGAAATTCTGTTTGAAATAGAGAGATCAGCTTTGGAAGAGTTTGAAAATGCAAAAACATTGAAACTTGATGTGGTCATAATTCAAATATTTTATTGGAAATAACAAATTTGTTCTTGACGTTAATATTAAATGCAATGAATCTATACAATACTTTGCAAAACTTAGATGGACCTATTGACCTTTTTAAAACAATCAAAAAAAAATTTTTATATGACGAAAATTAAAGATAAATCTATTGAATGAATAAATCCCATTATGCAAGTATGCAAGATTCCTTCGTTTTTTTGATCGTATAGACATGGACCAATATTACCATCACCAATCCATTCTTTACTTTTTCTTGTTTGGAAGATTTCATTGGTTGACTAATCAAGGAAAGGACAAATTTTTAAAAAGGAAAAAGCAAAAAAAAAAATATGAAAGTATGGAAAACTCGAATTGAGTCTACCCTATTTTTGGAGAAACTAATGAACATTATCGAGAGAGCAACTAACTATAATTAGAGATGTACTTCGCGCGAAGCGATAAAACTATTGCACCCGCGATTCTCGCGAGATGACACCATACTTCGCGCAAGATGAACTATTCGATAAGAAATTTTTAATGAAATTTTTAGCTTATGTTCTAAAATGAATTTTTATCACATGAGACTTGCGAACTCGCGCAACAAAGTCGCGCGTGCGATATGTGAAATGTATGCTAGGTTTATCTCGTGCGAGGTACATCTCTACCTATAATCCTAATTTAAATTACTTCACTCTAGTAATATAGGTCGCAGAAATAATGTTTATATACTATCTTTTACTTTTAAACCATTTAAATGCCGCACATAACTGGTTTCAACAGCCGTAACAGCTGGCTTATTACTATACTAACGGAGATAATTTTAAAACCTAGTTAAAAATAAGAAATCAATTCTAAACGGACTTGCTGAGCTTTGTTATTGTTAGAATTTTTCAGAGTGCCTTTTCGCTAAATATCCATCTCTTTGGAGCTCAATAAAATATTTTATTCGTTAAAACAAGTTTCATCCGTTAGTAACTCTTGTCAAGTAGCTATGAGCCTTGCTTTTCTCTGATCATTGCTCCTTTCAGGCATTATATATGAATAAAAGATACTATATACAGTATTATACATCATTGCTTCTTTCAGGCATTATATGTGAATAAAAGATATATCATTGCTATTTAAGTTTTCATCATCGATCAGTGAAATTTGATTACATTAATTACATTATATTCATTAATTTACTTCCGTGAACCGAAACCTAATTTTGAATATAGGCATATACATACGTACGCACATACTCCATTCATTTATCAAGAATGCCATTATAGATGATATTTTGTGTCTTATTAAGTATTAATACACGGATACGTATATAAATTGTTTCAAAACAATGAAAATTAGACAAAAATATGATATGTTTATTGTCGAATTTGCCTAAGTATAACTACTTTAGTACCTTTGCGTTATTGATTGTAAAAAAAAAAAAAAAAAAAAAAGTATATACATATATATATATTTTTTATCGTATAATTTGATTTCTTTAATTTAAACAATGATAATATCTAATGACGAGAAATTCACTAGAGATAAATAACATTTGTCTTTTTAATAACCTGAAATACCTCATAATCTTCCACATGAAATTGTTCTAAATCAAAAATTCTTCTCTCATAACTTCTCGGTCTACAAAAACTAGGTAGGGGAAGATTTCTAACGCAAGTGACTTTCACCCACAAATCATCATTGCCAAATGATGGCCCATGTGAGTTTCGAATCGCTTTACTATAATTCACTACTCTACTAACAATAGATTGACCAACATTTGTTTTATTTAAAGAAAATATGAAACTAGAAGAAGTCTCAGCCCATTTTACGTTGCAATCCCATGAAAGAGGATTATATCCTCCTAAAATTTCATCCATGTCCTTAACTTTAATTATTGTAATAGTAGGTCCTTTCAAATCGCAACAAGCATGAAACATTTCATCTGACATACAACCATTGCTACCACGTACTAATAATTTAAGATCGTAAGGAAGTAATTTTGGATTATTTCCATTGTATGTTATGGCTGGTTGATTGTAGTCAATTTGACTCATTATCCAAGCTGCGTGATTGTTATTAATAAATATTGATTGGAACGGTTGATTCCGTTTTGGAGAACGTAAAAATTGGTGTGTTGGATTGATTTGAGGTGCTAAATGAAATTTAAGTAAATCATCGTATAGATCACTTGGAAGAATGAGTTGAAATGGTATGATTTTATAATAAAAATCACTCGAAGAAATAACTGTAAAGTTAATAAAAGGAATAAATTGTTGTAAAATTTCTTGTAAATTTTGAAATGATTCTTGTGTCCAAATTTTATAATTTGGATCAAGAGGAGGTGATGTATTGGACATTCCCCATTTGAGAAGTGCATCCCAAACTTCAATTTCTGGAGTAAGCAAGTTACTTTGTCCTAACAAAATAGTTAGCAGCTTGGGATCAGTGTCTGTAAAATCTTTTGCTTTGAATATTATGTCTGGTGTCTTTTCAATAATATCTATACAAAATAATTGAAGATTCTTAAACGATCCTTTAAGGAATGCTGTTTGATAGATTAAAATAAAATTTTCTCGCATCCATTGTTTATTGTTAAAAAGGTGTTCAATGATGTAATCAGCTAATTCCGTGAGACAAAGCTCGTCGGTGGCAATTAGAATTTCGAGAATTACCAACATGTCAATTGCTGGTAGATTAATAGTCGCACCATAAATATATCTTTTGAAAAATAATTTTTCAAAATTAATGAAGAAATATTTCACTCAAAAGCTCTTAATTTTATACTAACCCCAAAATAACTTCAAATGCTTCTGGTGAAATATTTGGCTTAGTAAATACAATATGATCTGATTCCTTTTTTGCCCATGTATCTGATAAAGCATTACGAAAATAAGCAGACCGAGAGCGTAAGATTACTGTATGAGCTTTGAAAGTTTTTGTGTTGTCGCCAGTGCCGGCAGTGATTAATACATTATATTCAATTGCCTCTTCAAGGAGAAGACACAAATCCTTGGATAAGGTCTTCAACAGTCCTGCCTTTAAGCAACTCATAATTATTTATAAGAAAACAGCAAACAGAAAGAATTCGTTGATTTGGAAGTCTGGCTATTTGAAATATAAGCGATCCAGTAAAGTTATCAATTTTATCAATTGAATGAGAATGAAATTCCGGCTTTCCTTTTGCGTAACTCAAATAAAAGTCATATGCTCATAATATCAATGATTACCGTTACCCCCAAAAATGGGGTCTCTTTAGTGAAAATAACAATTTATCACTATTAATAAATTTATTTATTGAGAAAATTTGATTAATGGAGATGAAATATGTTCGATACCTGTTAGCTAAAGACTAAAAATCACCTAATTTTGAAATCTGACAACGCCCTAGACAACAGTCTAGCTTGGTCCAATTCCAGATCGTTTAAAAACCCCAAAGACATGATATGTAATAATTCTGTATTCCCTCCACTTTATATTCGCCACTATTTAGACGTTCATTCTGGAACTTTGCACCAGGGACGATGATTGTGATTTCTGTGATGGCGAATAAAAAAATTCTATTTACTGATTATGTGGTAATCCACCAGCAGATCGACAAAAATCCACGGGTATGTGAATTGTGGTTAAATTTTTATCCGATTTTATTTTTAGGGCCTTTTTTGATAATTTATTAACGTTAAAAATAAACGTTGTGAATGGACAATAGACAAGGCAATAGATTCAATAGACTATCTAGTAGTCTAATGATGTTGAGTCAAGCCATTAGACAATAGACAAATAAATATAACGTAGTTTAAAGTAATCTGATTGATTAATTTTAGATATCAAACCTCCCAAAACTGATTCTGTCAAAACTGATAACCTGTGATAACCGATAAAAAATTGAGCCACCATGTCTGTTTTATAAGTCAAACCTGATAACTAATCCTTAAAAATTAAATATTTATAAGATATAGGTAAAATAAATTTTATGTAACGTGTTATAAATATAAGGAATAAATTTAGTTAACCATTTTTTTTATTTTTTTTTTTATGATCTCTTGGGTCTTTTGACTTTTATTAACATTTTTTTAGTAATTACAGGAAGAGTGTGTTATTGGTTACATATGTAACTTTTTTATATTACCTATTTAAGGAGTCTACCTGAAGGTTTCTACCAATTGTCATATCTAACATCTCTGCTTAGGTGTTTTATTTTAAACTCTCTGAACTTGTAACCCATATTAACTTAAGCTCAAATCTTTGTTCTAATTTTAGGTCTATTTTATCTTCAAGGTAAACCTTTTAGAGTTTTCTGTATATTCATTTTATAACAGGATTAGGATTGTTATGGTTGAACTAACACTTGTAGTTAGAATTAATTATTAAATTGTTATGTTTTTATAGAGTTTATCTAAATCTTAGTACTATTTCATAGTATATTTGAATTATTTTAGTATATTTTACTTTTGTTCTTAGACTTTTAATCTAAATAGCCTAGTAGAATTATGATCAGTCTATTAGTATATTAGGTTGGTCTAATATTTTTTTTTAGTTTAATTTTAACAGCTTAGTTGGTAATATTTCTTATTTAAGATTCTTTCTTCACATTGGTATCTGTTTTCTAAGACTAATTTTTATAGTATTGTTAAAAATTTGTGTTACCTCTCTAATCAGGCTTTTCTAAATAGGTTTTCTGTTTTCTAATTTTTATAAATTTATATTATTACAAAAACTTATTTTGAGTTTGCATTGTCTAATATCAATTTGTATTTTTTTATATAACTAGTTACAAAAATATTTTATAACCTGTCAGTTATACTGGTGTAATTATAATTTAATTGTTAAAAACAGTTATTATAATACAAATAAAAATAAAAATTTCAATATTAGTAAATTTTGAATTTGTACTTGTCATTTGAAAAGTTAACAACTTATTTATTTTACTAAGTTATTATATTCTCTAATTATATTTGTTTATAGTTAGTTATATAGTTAATAGATTATTAATATTTTAAAACTAATAACCTATTAAAACTAATATAAAAATTAGTAATTATATATATTAGTTTAAAATAATTATATTATATATATATTAAATTAACTATTAGAAAATTATTAGACATATTATATAATTAATTAATTTTTTTTTGAATTTTAGTAATATTGTCAGTTGGTTTATTAAATTTTAAATTTGATATAATATAATTTATAATTATATTTATAAGATTACTTATTACTAATACTATACTATATTTATTATTTTAATTTTATATTACTAAATTCACTCAATTACTTATATAACATCTAAGTTTGTATTCACTACATGTTTATATAGTTATATTGACAAACACTTGTGATCAAAACACATCATTAAACTATTATATAGACAAAAATAGCTCTAAACTTAATATAATATTTTAATGCCAGAGATTTTGTTTTTTGTAATTATATTTATAGGTTTTATTCATATGCTTTATCTAGTTTTGTTTCTTCTATTTTTTAATCTAACTATATTTAGTAATATTTAATATTACAGGATTAAAAAAACTTCTTAGATATAATTAAAATTATTCTGTTTGTAAATATAACAAGTTTTAGTCTCTATTATAGAAAGAAGCATCTTATTAAAGATTAAATATAATATCAAGTTATTGTATAATGCTAAGACCTAGAAAATTTGTAAGAATAGTAATAATAAACCTGATGTGAAATATGAATTAGTCAAAAGACTAATAGTAACAACAGATTTGGCTTAAGATATGCATTTATTATAGATTTTGAACTATTATTAAAACATTTTAGAGAAATTAATAAAAAGTATACCAAAGATATAAGATTATAAAAATCATATATATCTAAGTAAAACCAATTTAACAATGATATAGTAATAAAAAAGTAATAAATATAAAAAATAATATTACTATATATTATAAGCTTTTAGTTTATTTAATAATATTTGCAAGACAATTCTAGTTATGTTCAAAGAGTTATACTGACTTTAATAATATTATACTATCTTATAGATTTTATTTTATATTGGTTGGTTTTGTTTATCATAAACTTTTATATACACTAAGTATAATCAAAACCTGATTTAGGTCTTTTTTTTATATGAAAAAGTTATATACTAGTTTTCAAGATTTTCTTTTTTATAATTAGATTATTTAGCTATATCAAAAATGTTTTTAATTTTAGTCAAACTAATTTTTTATTACAGGTTATCTTTATATTTACTATTTTTCTTACTATTTTAGTCTTGGTTATTTTTAGATTACTTTCTTAATTAAATTTATTTCTTAGATTTCAATTAGAACTTATTCATACAATTCATTAATTAGCTTTTTAAGCAAGTATCTTACAAGTTAAATACAAAAATATTAGTACTATTTATATTAAAAGATATAAGAATATTGATACTTCTCTAGTCATAAGAACTTAAATACACAATTATTTTATAACTGTAACCTTCTGTAATACTACTGTTATATATAATATCTGTACTTTACACTTGGGTCTTCTTCTTTTTATTCAAATTCATATTTGTACTTAAATTTTTCTTACAAAACTTTGTATCTAATTAATGATTTTAATAGGTTACAAAAACAAAATTGTAAGGATGATGCTCCTAGTATAGTAGTTGGATTATTATATTTTAAACAATAGATCCTGAATTCAAATCTTACAGATGGCAAAATTTTGAAAAATGGTCCTATTACAATAATTTGAACAAGGTATCTGAGGTTGTAACTTTGTAATTTTGGTTATACTAAAACTAACTTTAAGAGTATGCAATATTATACAAATAGATTTAAAAAGCATATACTCTATAAGAAACCTTGTTTGAAAATGCCAAATAGAGAAGTAATATAATCTTTAACAGTATTAGATGATTTGAAGAAGAAAATTTGAAGTAGATAACTTGTATAAATAAGATTCTTAGATAAAAGAGATTTACTAATCTGACTACTGTTTAATTGGACATGAAATCACATCATACAAAGCTTACTAAATTAGTAGTATAGAAAAATAGACAAAACATCAATAAGATTGTAAAAGTAATTATTGGAATTATATAAATTTTATAAAGTTATAGAGTTTAATAGTTAGACCTAACTGCAAATATTGGTTTAGCTATAACAAGTTTAGATTAGCTATATATAAAAATACAAAAGGCTTTAAAAGATTTACTTTAAGAATAAATTAGTCCTAAAATTAAGACAAAAATTCAGAATAATTTAATGAAATTGACATAGATTATAGGTTCAGAAAGTTTAAATAAAACATTTAAGCAGAAGTGTTAAATATAATAACTGGTAAAAAACTATTATATAGACTCTTTAAATAGGTAATATAGAAAAGTTATATATGTAGCCAGTTGTATACTCTTTTTATAATAGTTCTTATAAAACTATATTATTTAAAAAATATTAATAAAGTTAAAAAATCAAAGAGGTTATTTTAATATTAAAAAAAAAAAATTATCTTTAGTCTAATTCAAACTATTAATTTTGTTTATAAAAGTTTTAAAAACTTATCTGCTAAGCTATAAGATTTAAATTTTATAATTTAATTTATCAGCTTATTTTTATATTATTAAATTATATATATTTCTTAAAATATTAGCTAATTATTTATAAAATATTTAATTTAAATATTTGGGTTATTATTTTAAATTTGTTCTATTTTTTTTTTTTTTTTTTTATTTTATTAAAGCTGATGTTATCGATAGCTACCGTCTTTATTGTGTTTTTGGTCAATGCATTACATATGACTTGTACAAGGTAAGTGTGCAACTA